CACTAATCACATGCTTTTTGAACTGGAAACTTTACCGCTTCCTCCAATGGAAAATAACATGAATAATCGGCCATTTTCAAAAGTTTGTCTGACTCGTATGGCGCATCAGTTTAAAAGTCGTGTAAAAATTCGCACCGGGGCCAACTGCGCCGGATAAGTCGGCCGTTCGTCACCCAGAATTAGTCAGTTATCCTGGAAAAGTGAGGACGGTCCGATCTTTTATCAAAGTCGGATATTAATTGCTTCTTTCTGTCAAACTTCATCAGAAATTATCGTTTATGTCTTAGGGGAAAAATTAGAATGCTTGTCCTTTTATGAAACTCTGATATTTATCGCGTAGCTGTGTCGTCTTATTCAAAAACTTGAGCGGGATGGTGGAGGTTTTCTGGGTTGCATTTGCAGTATGTCAGGAGGAGGCAAGGGACAGGGGGGAGAGTGGGGAGGTGGGAGAGTAGGGGGAATAAGGAAGGGGGAGGGGAAAGGAGTAGGGGAAGGGATGGGTAGGGGAGGATGAATAGGTAAGGGGAAGGTGGAAGGAGTGAATACGGAAGGTATGTGGGGGGGTAGGAGTAGGGAGTAGGAAGAGGGGGGAAAGGGGGTAGGTACAAAGGGGCGTGGAGTACAAGCGGCAGGTGGGAGGGAGGATATTAATGAAGACTTCAACATAAAAAACAAAAACCACACTTACAGATCTCTAAAGTGGTGTGAAGCAGGGGGCCCAGGGTAGTAGTAGTAGTAGTAGTAGTAGTAGTAGAAATACGTGTTCGGTGGAAGTGAGATCAAAATAACAAAGGACGGCCAAAGATACCTAGGCGCAGTAATCGGCACGGCGGACTTCAAGACCGAGTACGTAACGGGAAAGGTGAATGAGTGGGTTAGGGAAATCCAAGCTCTGTCTGAGATTGCTAACACTAAGAAGGAATTCGTGATTTGTAGCAACATTAAAGGAAAACAAAACAAAAATGTGAGGTAAGACTGGTATTAATGATAGACAGGGAAATAAAAGAAAATCGCAATAGGCCTATGGTGAACTGCCTGGTACACTTAGGCCTACAGTATTATTTCAATCTGTATATCCCTCCCACTCATTCCACCAGTGTTAAGTGAAACAGTAAAATATAGTTTTAAACAGTCATCTAGATCAGTATAATCTACTCGCGTTTTATTACCATGCCATCAAAACCATCAACAAATTAGCCTGAAATGAGGAAGTCATGTCATAGGTTCATAGTCAGGTGTGTGTGTGTATGTGTATGTGTGTGTGTGTGTGTGTGTGTGTGTGTGTGTGTGTGTGTGTGTGTTTTGTCATGTCATTAAATTTTAAGACTGTATACGAACTTAAACGCCTCATCTTCACACACACACACACACACACACGACACCTTCAAACTAGGTATTTCTTTATTACCGTTGTTTGTACCTCAGATTTAAGAAGTTTAATTGTTAGGTTTTATAGTAATCGTCTCTCTCTCTCTCTCTCTCTCGCACATCTTTTTATCAAGTTTTCTCTTTAATATCTGCCCTTTCCTCACCCCTCCTCCCCCCCTTCCATCAGCCTTCCAATACCCCCTTCCCCTACCCTTCCACCCCCTCCCTTACTTCCCTCACACCTCTTCCTCCCTCCACTTCCCAATTCACCCCCTCTACCTCTTCCTCCCTCCCCTCCCCTCCCCTCCTCATCACCCATCCACCACTCCCACCTTCTTAATCCTCCCCCTTCTCCCTCCTCCTTCCATTCTTTCTATCATCCCTTCCTTCATCCCTCAACACCCCTGCCTCCATCTTCCCTAATTCCACACCCTCCTTCTATCCCCTCCCCCCTTCTTTCCCATCTCGCGCTGCTCGTCTTCTTCAGAGTGGCGAGGGACAAATAAATAGCTAGCGACGTTGATGGGCAAGGGGGCGAGCTGACGGGGCCGGCATCTCCTTTCACCGCCTGATCATGAGACACGTGACCTGCTGGACCTATGTCGACCCATGTTAGGTGTCCACTCCACCACCACCACCACCACCACCACCACTACTATCACCACCACCAACCACCACTACCACCACCACTACCACCAACCACCACCACCAATTACCACTATCACCACCACCACCACCACCAACCACCACCACCCACTCACCACCACCAACTAAGTGGAAAAGATAGAGAACATCAAAACAAGACAAATACAAAACAAAACAAAACAAATAACAACAACAAAGATAGAAGGCTGTGAGGCAGTGTGAGGAACAGAAAACAAAACAAAACAGTCAAACAAAAAAAATACCCATGAAGAAGAGGAGAAGATGGGGGATGAGGGGTGTTCACTACGTTATATGATATAAAGAAATTAATAGAGGAATGAATGGATGAAGGGAGGTGGCGTAGGAGGTAGGGGAGGAAGGGAAGGGTGCAGGAGGTAAGGGAAGGGGGGGAAGAGAAGGCGGTATATGAGGTAAGGGGAGGAAGGGAAGGGGATATAGGAGGTAATGGGAGGAAGGTAAGGAGGTGTAGGAAGGAAGAAGAGAGAGAGGGAGGAAGGAAGGGATGTAGGAAGGGAGAAAATTTAAAGCATAATAGTGACGATTGAATATTAACAAAAATAGTAGAAGAATAAAGAATAATAATGGAAAGGATTCTTGAAATGATTGAAAAGAATAAAAAATAAATTAAAAAAGATAGTCTGATATATTAGTACTGTAGTTAAGAACAGTAAAATAAACCTTCACAAACAGTTACCTGTACTAGGGGATGGGGGATAGAAATAGAAGATGGAGGCTAGAGGAAGGATTGAATTGGATAGAAAACACGTTGACTAAAAAAAAAAAGAACAGCTGGGTTTTTGGGGAGAGTTAAAAGGGTTATTGGAAACGATTGGGGGAAAAAAGGAAAGGAACTGAAGAGGGAGAGACAGAGGCTGAAAAGTAACTGGAGAGTGGGAAGGGGTTGAAAAGTAACTGGAGAGTGGGAAGGGGTTGAAAAGGAACTGGAGAGTGGGTAGGGGTTGAAAAGGAACTGGAGAGTGGGAAGGGGTTGAAAAGGAACTGGAGAGTGGGAAGGGGTTGAAAAGGAACTGGAGAGGGGGAGTGTGAGTGGAGGTGAGGTGAGAGGAGGTGAGGTTATGAACAGGTAAGGTTGAGGAGGGGTAAAGATCAAGTGTAATTTCTGTACTAGGAAATAACACGTAAGGGACAAAGGCCTTAAGGTAAAGCGTAATTGAATCAGTAAAACAACAATAACAAAAACAAAGGAAACATCTCTAGATAGAGATAGATTCATGAAATTATCTATATCACGGATACAAAAACTCACATAGACACAAACACGTGCGCAAGGAAAGGTACACACACACACACAGCAAACACTCAAGAGCACACAGCCAACAACACGCCCTGCACAAAATGGAGATAAATAAAAATACCAATGGCAGAAGAAGCATCGACACGTAGGCAAATCGTGTTTGGCAGGGCTGGAAACACCAGCCAACCAGCAGCACACTGGCAGCAGCTCCCGCCCTATAAAAGTGAGTAACACAAGTACAGAGTCATTACCAGCCGTGAGCCTCGCGCCGGCGCCTCTGCCCCTCGGCCTCAGTAATCTGGAGCAGTGAATGTGTGACCTGTTGCTCCGTCAACACCAATTCCCGTGCATGTTGAATGTTGAGGACGGTCGGCGCGCGCCCCGTCATAGCCGCTCCTCATCAAAACTCCCCACAACAATCCAAATTCTGGAAGAATAAAAGAGGATATGCAGGTGTTGAAGTGGGGCTTCATGCGCGCCCGAATATATAAATTGTGATTTTAAAGCTTCGGCACTAGAAGGATGGGATTATTTACATTGTTTGCCGATAAAAAATGGAAAGAAATGTGAAGTTGGGAAACTTAGCAGCTGATGTATCTGGTCTTAAGTGGCCTTTATGTTGTACGTCGGCTCAACTTTCGTCAATCAGACCGGCCCACCTGCACTACAAACAAATTCCCACAAGTTTGTGTTCGCTACAGTTCCTTTTCGTTCTTCTCGTCTCACTCACCATGATGGACTCTTTCTTCTTTCTACAAATAGTTCAGTTACAGATCATTTCTTGGCGTATAGTATTAGCAGCATATCGAGGGTGGTTAATTATGGAGAGAAGGTGAGAAGAAGGCGTCAACACAGAGGGCAGGAGAGGAAGTAACATTTCCAACAGAGAGTGGAGGTGAGCGAGGCATGATGGGGGGTGATGGTGTTCCTCGTCTGCCGTGCCAGAGCTGTTTCTAAAATTTACATTATTCAGACCTCCAACAAAGTTTATAAGATTACAACACATACAGGAAATAAGAAAAAGATATCTGGAGCGGTGAGGAGAAAAAGTTGTAAAATAATTCCAGACGGCTGAAAACACGCAGAGGAAAATGGATGAAAAACAAGAGGAAGATGTCAACCTCTCTCCCTTGTTATTTGTTAATAGCTTGTGTCAAAACAGATGAACGTCACTTAGGGACGCGTTGGGTGTTTGAGTCACGTTTCATGATACATAAACCTTATTGTCATGGTCTGGGAGTTGGGTCGTCGCCCCTCCTACCACGCCCCCACACACCCCCACCACCTCAACACCCCCCCCCACCACCCCAAAACACTCCACACCCCCACCAACCCCCACACCCCCACTAACCCCCCACACCCCACCAACCCCCACTAACCCCACACCCCACCAACTCCACACTCCAACCAACCCCCACCCCCAACACCCCCACCACCTTATACCTAACATATTTCTCGTCAGACGACAAACATTAATATAATTGGATTTTTCTGAAAAGACGAAAACTATGAGGCAGAAGATGGATTTGTCACAATAGTCAAGGATACAATGGATATACTCGGAGATACGGGATACAGGAAAGATACAAGAAGATACAGGGGAGATAGAAGAAGATACGGGGATACAGAGACGATACAAGAAGATACAGAGATGCAAGGAGATACAGGGGATACAGGCAGCTTCAATTGAAAAGGGAAACAAGTAACGTTTATGGGGATGCTTGATAAATTTACAGACATTTATAGAGACTTACAGGAGATAAAAGGTAGATTTACAGGGATACAGGGTGGATTTACAGGGATACAAGCTAGATTGACAGGGATACAGCGTGGATTTACAGGGATACAAGCTAGATTGACAGGGATACAGGGTGGATTTACAGGGATACAAGCTAGATTGACAGGGATACAGGGTGGATTTACAGGGATACAAGCTAGATTGACAGGGATACAAGCTAGATTTACAGGGATACAGGCTAGATTGACAGGGATACAGGGTGGATTTACAGGGATACAAGCTAGATTTACAGGGATACAGGCTAGATTTACAGGGATACAGGCTAGATTTACAGGATACAGGCTAGATTGACAGGGATACAAGCTAGATTTACAGGGATACAGGCTAGATTTACAGGGATACAGGCTAGATTTACAGGAATCATCTCCTTCGTCCTCTTCCCTACCTCCCTCGCTAGATAAATAAACAAACCATCCTTCCATACACAAATTTACCTTACAAGTAAATGCTAATTAATGTTCAAACACACGAGACATAATGAAGAGAAGAATATCTGCCGGACAAATCTCTCACTTTTACGACCTCGTCTCCGGGGAAGTACAGGGCAAGTCCACGAGCTAAATATGGGCGGGTTGGCATAAATTTAAATGCCTTGTCGTCGTAAAACAAAGCTTCAGTTGAGGGACGTAATACCACTCCACTACAACGGAGGGATGATTTACACGCTGACTGTGGCAACGTGGTATTCTATAAGAGCGTCGTAAATTAACTAAGAGCTGTAGAACGGAGGGAAATGGAGAGTAATCTTCTATTGTGGGGAGGGAGGTGGGTGGAGAAGGGGATGGGAGGTGGTGGTGGTGGTGGTGCAGGTGGTGGTAGTGGTGTAGCTAGTGGTGGACCCAGGGTATTTAGTGGTAGTCGAGGTGGTGGTGATAGTGTAGGTGGTGATGATGGTGGTAGTGGTTGTCGGTAGCTCTCTCTCTCTCTCTCTCTCTTTGGATGTCGCGTCTGAGAGGTTGAACTTTGGAGTTTCTAGTCAGTACTCGGTCCTAGATATCACCTATATCGTGTAACCCATTATAGGTGTTCAGTTCTCGTGTACCCTTGTCTTAGATCCGTCCTCGCTTGTCCCCGGGTATCTTAAGTACATTCTCCTCAGACGTGATATAAATTCCAGGTTACATTTCTGCGCGGTGTTTGCAATATTAAAGTAAAATTCGCGATCGTAACTTACTATCACTTGTTTGACTTAGCTTCTGTGTCACTGAAGGAAGGAGAGTCGACCAGTTCACGAATATCTTGTACTGTCGTGGTTCATGTGTTATGCGAATATGAGAGACAAGGAACACTGAATTGCGGTGTTTCAAGTGAATTCATTGATATAAAATTTAAAAGCCAAGTGACCGCTCGTTGTACACATGAGGTTAGCTCAGCTACAACGCTTTTTATAGGTACAGTTGGCTTCACGCTTGAGTTTACCACTTAGCGTTCACTAGTGAGCGGGAAAGAGGGGGATGAATTATGTTCTAAGTAAGGAGTTCCTTTGCAGAAGGGGGCATTTATGAGCAAAGATGTAGAAGCAGCGAAGTTTTGTTTAACAAATTGATTACGAGATGGAATTTCCCCGGCTGAATAAAATCGTCTGGTGGCAGCCAGAATAAAATAGCTATAAAAATATAAGGAAGGGATTAATTAACATGATCATATATCACCTTCAACACTGGTCGATTTCTTGGTGAGATTTATCTGTTTTGGTAGGCAATAAATATTTGTGATGAAGAATTAAACTTACCATCCCAGCCCAACCGTGATTCTTGGTGCCCTCCGCTCACCCCTTCACATGTCACCAACCCAACCAACATTTGAATCTGGTCTGAATATATAGACACCTGTGTAGTTAAATGTAAAACAACCAATAAATGAATGTCAACAGCACTTACATTAAATTCCTATAAATTGTGTTACTCTACTGTCAAAGCGTTATTCTGCATTGTAATCTTCCCAACTGAGATACTGTACACTTTCCCTCGTCACCTCCATTACCCCTTTTCCCTCTATCCCCCACAAACAACAATTACCCCGACACACCTCACGGAGAGAGAAGATTGGCAACACTAAGTGGTAAACGTAGGAGTGGAGCCAACTGTACATCAGCAGCTCCATGTAAACCTATCCTTATCGACTGACTGGGTGACTGATTGATTGGTGACTGATCAACTCCTTCACTCGTGACTCATCCAGTCAGAGGAAATGTCAAGAAAATCTTTAAGTAACAAGACATACGCGGGTCTCTATTTAATCATTTAATCACATCCTGCAGCAACACGACTTCACTTCTGTAACTAAATAGCACTGGTTGGTAAATTCTCACGACCACGCTAAATGCAGAAATATTCGTTCCTGCCCCTCCCCCCCCCCCCCCCACCCATCGGTTCCCCGCCAGGTGATCGGTGATGTAAGACTCATGGCGACTGTTACTGGGATGAACCAATCATAGTTCATTATATTGTCGACTTGAACGTAACGTAGTATGATTGAGTCACAGCGGAGACACCAGACATCCCCGCGCTTTGTTTCACAGGCGTAAAAGTGACTTTCACGCTTGAACATAGTCATTTAAAGCTATTTTTATTGAGTGAAATTAGTGATCCGTGAGTGAAATACTCAGTTTTCTGTGTTGTAAACACACACACACACACACACACACACACACACACACACACATACACACACAGTCCTTAATCTGTGGCTCAATCCATCACTCATTGTTTCATCAGGTGCCACAGTCACTGATATCTTAAGACTTCATTTTTTATCTCAATTAAAATCAACCTTCCTTTCTCCCAGTCTCCTTCTCTTCTTGTTTCATCACTTGAATTATGCCCATATTTATTATTAGCTTTTTTGTATTAGACAGTTCCAAACTCATTGACTGATATTTACAACTTTTCTTCCACATCACACAAAAGAACAGCTTCACCTGAAAACCGCAACTAACACAACTCCCTTTTGCATCACGTATCATTATTTATCATTGTTCTTACTTTAACGTCTATGAATATTTTAAGCAACTACGGCGAGAACCATCTTTCACAAACTTCCACTGGTCATGATTGTTCTCGACAAACCCACATATATGTCATACTTCCCATATTGCATTCATGTATCTGCTAGTAAATACATAATTGCAGTAATAATAATAATGATAATAATAATGATGATGAGAAAATGAGCTAACTGACAGAGGTACAGGTATGGGTTTAGCGTGGGGGAGTGAGGAAGGTAGTTGTGTGGAGGAGTAATGTGCAGGTCGGGGGAGGTGAAGGCGGTGTGGGAGTTTCGTCTCAGGAGGACAGTGATAAGTGCCCGTCATATTGAAGGAGCGTGAGCATCTCGGCTACACTCCTTCCACCCCCAACCTTCCCGCAATGTTTCGCGTCACAGCCTACCCTCGCCAGGCCAATAACCCGTTGCTTATTGGTGTTTATGCCCTTAAACTCCTCTATATTTACAATAATTTACTCTACAATTTCATATTTTACAGAAGGAAATTACAAAATAATAAAGGTAGGTCCTAAAGTCTCAGGTACGAACTGGGATGAAACAAAAACGAGACCTTCTGCGAATTCGACCCCTAAGGTGGCGGTCAAACTTGATGTGCTTTTGTTTTCTTATTAATGACGTCATTAAGCGCTCAAAATGAAGATGAAGAACCGACGCTGGGAAAGGCGACGTGTTTTTATTAGAAGTCTCCGGTAAGGTATGGAAACAATTTGTATGTCCCGTAAGATTTCCTTCCCCCGTGATGACTTTATAAGAATGAAAAAGGAAGTCTTTTAAACTAGTTAATAGCATGTGTTATTACGGGCGGGAGAGGTTTGGTGTTATGGTTCTCCACAAACTATCGAGTGACCAATTATATCATTATAATTGTTAGAATGTTTTTGCTTTGTTAATCCTAAGACTCTCATTTATTTGGTCTTTTTTTACGAAGCATAGACTAGACTTGTTGTTGTTTCACTTATAGGTTTAGTTGGGAAAGTGTTTGATGTCACTTGACCTGTCGCCCGTGTTATTATATAAGTGGCATAAATTGATACATAATTTCTATATATTTAACATTTCATTTACCATTTCATCAAGGTTTTTTTTTACTATGTGTTGTTTTCATTTTCATTTATTATTTTCCATTTCATTTGTTTATCTAGTTATTTTCCTTTGTATTTGTTCAATTAACCCTTTGCTAACGATGGTTTAACTCTTTGATGATGTTTTAACCCTTTGAGGATGATGGTTTAAGCCTTTCAGGGCGATGATTTAACCGTCCGGGACTCAAAGGGTTAAGAATAAGGAATAATTGAACTGATAATTACGAGTTTATTGATTTAGGAGGATAGGATTAAGTCAAGTTGGTGTCCTACTCAGTAAAGGTCAACACAATATTCTAAGCAATGTTGTCTGAGGAGAGTAGAACTTGTCTTCCTTATGGAGTTATGGTATGGTTAGGAGAGTGTTAATGGGTGACTTGGACTGAAAATGTTTTTATTTCTTAACTCCGGCTTCGATTAGAACGACGATGATTAGGACGATGGCGATTATGACGATTACGACTAGGACGATTACGATTAGAACGACTACGGCGACGGCTAATAAGCTGGGGTTACACAATAAGCTCTTCTGTACTTTTTCCTGGAGGTGAGGTGACAGGTGTACGTCAACACCGTAAAATGTTACATAATGGCACGATATAAGAAACTACGCTTATAATATACCGAACAAAATGTGGTGTTAAAGGCTCTTCTATGAGTAAATGCACGCACACACACACACACACATTATATATATACTGTATGTATATTATATACATGTCCAAAAAATATGTATAAGCCTTGGAGGTCAGAGGATATATTTAAGCAGTAACAGCTGGGCAGCGAGGCTTGGACCCTCCTGGCGATTCATCTCCTTTGATACTTTTTTGCCGCATATGGTAAACTTCATGATGCCTCTCACTCTCTCTTATTGAAAACGCTGCAAATTTTAATCAGATTAATATGCAATTTTGGCTAAGTTAATCGAGTGTGTGTGTGTGTGTGTGAGTGTGTGTGTGTAATGACTGATGCCTGGATGTGGTTGTCTACATGTATACTCATATATGCATACGTGGACACCAGTATGTGTTCGTGTTTGTGAATCCACGCTCTTGAATACTTCTGTAGTTAATTGATATACATAATACGTCTAATATTACAAAACAAGACAAGACAGTGCTATACCACAATAATACATACCTTCCTCGAGCACCAGTGGCTAACACACACTACTCCTCCCGAGCCTTATAACACTGGCTAGTA